TAGGGTTTTTGGGGTTTAGGGTTTGTAGGGTTTAGGGTTTTTAGGGTTTAGGGTTTTTAGGGCTTAGGGCTTTAGGGTTTTAGAGTAGTCGAGTAGGTAGCCTTCTGTTTTTGCGGTGGGCAATGTATCCCGTATAGCTGTTAGAAGGCTCTTGACTTGATCCCGCAGATCTGCGAGCTAGTTAGACACCTATGCTACTTTCTGCGAAGCACCGGGAAGCCGCAAACCTGTTGCTGTGGGAAGTACTGCAATTCATGCACACACACACACCTGCACTTTTACACACGCAAGCCGATGTTGATGAATGACCCCAGTCGTACGAAACAGCATCAACCGAGTATTCCGCGCTTTGAGTCGTATACCACCAACGGAATTCACGCCGGATTCCCCAATGTGTCCTCCTGTCGCGAGGTGTCGTCGGATGCGGACTATGTGAATATAGCTGTCTGGCAAGCAATTATCCATCGCTGCTGTGTGGTGATGTGAGGCTTAAGGGCGGTTCATTGACACCCTGTCCTGGGCTTGGGGGCGGGGGGTCTGAAAACCTGGATACCTGCAACTTTCAAGTCGGATGTCCTTTTGTTACGTTCATTGACTACTCAAATCGCACTTTTGCCTCGAGAAGAAGGAATTCCTACACCCTCAGCCGAGGTCACCCATGCTCCAGAGAGCCTCCGTCTCGAGCCACTGCAAACCTTTGCGGAGGGGAAGCGTTGGAAGAGCAACTCGCCGACAGCATCGAAGAAGTAGAAGGATACGAATTGAGAAATAATGATGTTTTTCGATTGTCAGCGTCACTATCACCAACACCAATAGTACCAATATTTCTAAAGAAACAAGAGCAATAATAAAAAAAATATATAAGCACAAGAAGAAGAACAATAGCAACAATAATGCCACTAATACACGCTAGTAATACAAGAAGAAGAACAAAGAAGTCGTCCTTGTCGCAGTCGTAGTGGCACTTCACAGGCGATGGCAACCATAATAAAAGGCATGAATATATAAGTCCTTCAAGATTACCCCTTATTGGGGTGGAGCATCATGTGCCCCCACCCCACTAAGTAGCTTCTCAGCTAGTTTACACCAAGTACTTCGAACGACTTTGCAAAGAGCGTTAATTTTTCGAGCAATGATACATGGCTAAAGTGTTCTGGTTTCGGAACATCTTGACGGCCCTAAACCCCTAAACCCTAACCGTTCCGGAGCAGAGCTGGGCACGCTTCCCGCGGACTGAGCAATGGCGGCCCGGAACTCTTCCTAGGCTTTTGTCAAGTACCCATAGGCCCCTAAGTAGTTCCTTTTTGTGGTTTATATTCAGAGCCCTATAAGGTAATCCCAAAAAGGAACTACTCAGGGGCCTATGGGTAATCTTGAGCTCTGAACCTGTCCCTAAGCTCAGCGACCCGAAGTTATCCGGGGGCCCCTTGAGTTGAAGTCCGCGCTCCCAGGTATGGGACTTTCCGACAATTAGGGGTACCTTATTTTGGGGTCCTTATAATAAGGATCCTACTATTCAGGGTACTTTATTAGGGTCCCTTATTTTCGGAAACCCAGGTATGCAGCAGACCCTGAAGGATCAGCCCATCATCCAGCTCAGCAGCTACGCGTCGTACACCGATGCCATCATGCAGCGGTGCGAGACATGGCGCCAACAGCTGTGCTTGTCCACTGTGTCGATCGAGGCTTCAATCAGCACACATGTCTTAACTTCGAAACTTTCGGCAAGAGAAGTTGGAACCTATAGCCGAGGAGAAGCTGCATGCAGATGCCATCCAGCAGCTCCGGGGCAAGAGCGATGAGCTCTTGAAGCGATTGGCTGACCTTGATGCCCCGTCGCCCTGGATTCAGGTGCCTCGCTGGGCTTCTAGGGTTCAAAGGGTGTCCGAGTCATCTGGCAAAGTCGGGAATGTTTGTAAACCTTCCAGTTCCTTCCTGTTACCCGAACACTGTTGCTGCATGCCCAGCATCTGCACCCGCGGAAACATGAAGCCCCTTGTCACGCTTTGTGCATTCAAGCTTCACACTTCGAGAATCGACATAAACCCTAAACCCCTAAACCCTAAACTCGAAACCCTAAACCCTAAACCCCTAAACCCAAAACCCTGAGAGTCACCGGCACAGGTGAAAGCACTTTTTGAGCCGCAGGGCTCTGGAGCCTCCAGGAGCAAGGTGGTGATGTACTGCAAGGTGCCATGCCCTGCAAGAAGTTTGGGGTTTAGGGTTTAGGGTTTGGGGCAATCTATACGAACTACTGAAGCTCTACGAATTTTCTTAGGTGCTTTTCACGTGTGCGGACAGTTGACCCAGTTGCTGACCAGATATTGACATCCTCGCAGCCGGGACTCCAACATGACCAGCTGCAGAAATGGTGTCGGTGTGGCACGTTATTGCTGACACCACGAAACTCCCAAGGTGAGGAGGCCCTAAACCCTGAAACCCCTAAACCCCTAAACCCCTAAACCCTAAACCCCTAAACCCTAAACCCTCAACCCCAGGCCCTCTAGAGCTGAAATTTCGTAGGCTTTGTATGAACCCCCCACTTCCTCCTGTACCCTTGCCTGAAGCTCTGCCAAGAACAATGATACCTCCCATTTGTAACCAGAGGGAGACATTATGGTGGTTGGCTGTGTCTTCCAGCTTATGGCAACCCCTCATTCCGCGAGGCAGCGGACTTTGCCACAGCAGTCTATGCTCGCTGCCTGGCGGTCACGTGAGGCTCTGCGCTAAGGGGTTTGGTAGGGGGTCTAGGGTTTAGGGCTTAAGGTTTAAGGTTTATGGTTTAGGGTTTAAGGTTTAGGGTTTAGGGTTTAAGGTTCAGGGTTTAGGGGGGTTTAGGAGGGTTTAGGAGGGTTTAGGGTTTCAGTCGTCGCAGGCATTGCCAGCTCTGGCCGTAGGTGTCTCCTCAAACCAAGAACCCGAGCTCAGACTCCGCAGCTCTCTGCAGCCGAGTCTTCCTTCGCCACATCCCCTCGCAAGATCAGCTGGCGAATTTGCATTCCGGTCACTGGGCCAGCAGGTTGTGAGTTTGAGTTCGGTTCCAGAGCGTTGCAGTTTGGATGTCTACTGTTGCTGGGTTTGGTCTAGGGCCTTCGACTTGCGGTCTTTCCTACTTCATTGCAAGCCTTAGCCATGCATCTCTAAGGATACCTGGGCCGTTCAAACCTCCAGACCCTCAGTCGAAGTGTATCCTGAACGCGTGAGCCAACCCTCAGGCATCCCGAGTTACGATCCGGAACCCCTCTAAAATCCTAAAAGCCCTAAACCCTAAAAACCCTAAACTCTAAACCCTAAAGACCCTAAACCCTAAAAACCCTAAAAACCCTAAACCCTAAATACCCTAAATACCCTAAACACCCTAAACCCCCTAAACCCTGGACCCTAAAAGCCCTAAACCCTGAACTGAGCGGCTTGCTGAGGCCTCCCGGTGGGCGAAGAGAAAGCGGAGACGCGATCGAAGGTCGACAGTTGCGTCCTCGGCTGTGGGGGGCCAGGTGGAGGTTTCCGAAAATAGGGGACCCTAATATAGCACCCTAAATGGTAGGATCCTTATTATAAGGACCCCAAAATAAGGTACCCCCTATTTTCGGAAACTTCGAGGAGGGACAGTAGTACCCAGAGAACCCAATACCCCTTGATTAAGGAATCTACCTTAAATCATAACAAAAAGGCCCTTATAATTTAAGGCATATTCCTTAATTAAGGGGCATTGGGTTCTCTGGGTAGCTTCGGTTTGGATTGCACTTTGCTGAAAATGGACGCTTTTTTTCACCTACTCACCGAAGCTCTTCCTAAAGCTACCGTTAACATGTCGTTGGGTCTCCTTAAACATCGTAATAGAGTACCCAAACAAGATTCAGGCCATTAAGGCGTCGACGTTTCTTAGGTAGCATTAGGGAGACCCCTTAGAGGGAACCCTTCTGAACCCTACTTGTGGCTCTCTTAAAGGGGACCTTATTGAGAGGGTCTTTCTCCCCAAGGGTCCCCCTAATCCTAACTCCCAACATTAGTGCTTCAGGTCTGACGGCAGAGAGGGAGAAGGTGCTGGAAGCTCGAACCGGCATCCGAGATGCGCTGCTGGGTTGCAGTGGCTGAGGGGTTTAGGGGTTTAGGGTTTAGGGGTTTAGGGTTTAGGGTTTAGCAGGTCCCGAGCTTTTGGGCCTCCGATCCTGGGACTTTTGCGGCCTCGGAACTCAGAGTAGCAAGAAGTCGAGCCACGTTTTGCCGAATCCCTTGTTGAGTTCCGATCCCCTAAACCCTAAACCCTAAGGGTTTAGGGTTTAGGGTGGTATCAAAGTTCGGAGTGTCGTGCAGGGCGAAACCTGCAGGCATGTAGCTGGTTGAAA